GCTCGGTTAATAAGAGCTAAATAATATTAGGTGTTTCGCTAAAGTGAAGTGGAGTTGACTTCGAATGTTGGAATTAATACTATGGCCAACTTGAAGGCTGAATTTCAGGAGCATTTGAGTCGTCCAGGCGTAAAAAAATGACCAGGATATGAGCATTTGTTTGCGGGAAAGTGACCTGAAAATGAGTAACTCTCATGCTAATGTGGTAAGCTTTGCTGAGAATGTGTCTTAGCGGTCGACCTTAATGAACTTATATGAGCGAAACGAACTGTTTACGTTTTTAATGAACGAAACAGTCATTGAAAACTGTACAAACATCGGCACCGTTATATAATATTGTAATTTCTTTTTTATAATTTAGTAACATCTAAACCTGAGGCCAGCCGAAATATTGCTTTAAATATGCGACGCTGTGTCAGCCTTGCAGTAGTCTTTGACTTATTATCGTTTTACTTTCCAAGTTTGGCTGATGAGATCTCCTGTGAGATCCAACGTTCAATCAAGCAGAACCTTTTTCACAGCTTTGCAGTTAAAAACACTTTCATGTTGAGTTGTCCACGTTCAACCGACATCGAGTTAAGTTTAGATTAAAGTTGTGTTCCCTATACTTGTCTTGCTTATTTTAGTACATTGATCTGAACTCTGAGTGGGATGTGAAATGCAGATAAACTTGGTAAAAAATTCCCAAATACTTGATTTTGATAAGCTTAAATGATTTTTACCCTATCTTTTGTTTACACTTTTGCTTTCTGATTGAAAAGATACAAAGGTAAAGAAATCCCCTATATGCTTGTTGGAACACGTATTTATAGGTCAACAGATTTTTTGGATCAACACTGAAAATGTTTGCAAATAAGGCTACTTGTTTTGATGTATGTTACGTGCAATATATATAGACACAAGCGGTTAAGAAGTGCTGTCTCATAAGAAACTTTACTTATAGCCTTGAGTGAAATGCAATGAAAAAGGTCTGTACGCTGGTCGGCGACTTGAATACACGCAAATTTTCCTAGCAGGCAGACAAACATCAACATCAAGATCTGGGTGTGCGTGTGGGGTGGGAGTGGAGAGAGAGTACTCTGTGGCTTTTTGTTGGCAGGAGTGTCCTCTGACTGTGACCCAAGAACCCTTAGCCTTTACCACTCCATGCTCAGCTGCAATTTTGCCACACCAGCTATTCTGGACGTATGTCTTTGTAATGTGTGTGCAACAAAAGCCTACGCGTTGTGAGATAAGTGTGACCTTGCGTGGTACAAACCCGGCTTGTTTTAACAGCATTTAATAATACACCAACATATTTTATCTCTAGATTACTTAATCCACGAGTTTGGCCATAGGTCTCCTTTGATTAATATGTCGACAAGGGGATTTTTACTTGGACATGCACAAGAAAGTAGTGTTTTACCTAATTGTGACCTGTTTCGTTTCGGAATCGTCATTTGACAGCATTGAGTATACTTACGCTGAGTTCTTCCACTCTAACCATAATTTCATGTGCACGAGTGTTGCTTGTTATTGGGTCTCGCCGTCCTCTCACTGTTTCGTTGTTGTATACACACTGAGAAAAGTTTCCTGCTCCTTGGGAACGCTGTGGTCCAGTAGGACCTTGAGCTCCCTGTGAGCCGTTTAACCCCTGGGGGCCCATGATGCCCTGGGGGCCCTGAGTTCCATTAAATCCTGGAGGTCCAGCAGGACCTATCGGTCCCTGAGAGCCGTTGAAACCGGGAAGACCCACTAGGCCCTGGAGCTTTCTCACGTTGTTTACCTGCAAGAGAGATGGTTACAACATGTAATAGGTATGTAGTCAATAATACCTCAGGGTTCAGTTGTTCTAGGTCAGGGTAGATAACGCTACTCACCGGATAAAAGACAATTGTTGATGAAACAAAGTACGCTATCCGGCATTGGATAGTAAATCATTTATTGGATAGTGTTATCCGTTCTTCGAACAACTGGGCCCAGCTGTTTGTATATCTTGAAGGATGGTTACTTCAATTTGATTTTACCTTTATGGAAAGTGTCCTGTTAATTTCATCTGACACTGCCCTGAGAGCGTTGCCTCGTTGATCGAGTCGGTCCGTTGCATTTTTAAGAATGGCTGGCTGTTAGGACCGAGAAACGCAGGTCAACGGCCCATTTGGCAAATCGCTCATATTTTGCTCAAAGATACCCTTAGGTGACCTAATTCTAAAAATCATATTAAAGGTTCCAGAGAATTTTTATTTTTGAGAAATTCGCGAAAATTTGAAAGCGCGGTCAAAGTGCGGTTTTTCGTGTAACAAAATGTCCGAAATACGGTCCGAGGACGAAGCGCTGCTTAAGTCTTAAAATACATTCAATTAACTTCAAACTTCACACAAATATGGAACAACCATTCTAATTTATTCGTCGTTTTAAACTAATCTCAGATATGTTGATATAGTGGTTTTCCGAACCATTTTGAAAAAGCCTATGAAGCGTGTCAAAAATAACGGCAAAATATAGGTCATGTTTAACAGCATAAAAATGCATCTGCCTGTCTGGTACCTCACTTTTCGATTATTTTACTTTACAGCCCTAAAACATCATTATTAAACATATCCCACGTCAAGTTTAATGCTCGAACTCGCAGTGTTTTCCTTTGAAAAAAAAAACGAAAATCTATGTCAATGTGTTGGGTGGAAATAACACAATAATTATACACGAACAAGAGACAAATCAATTTCAATGGCGAAAATAAAAGGCTGTCATTAATTAAAATCCATTTTTATTATGGAATACTGTGTAGCATTAAGGACGTTAAAGGACCGTAAATTAATCGAGTTGAAATATCTTGAAGCAAATCAGAATCGTGCCCTTGCCGATCTCGGTTCAAGTTCAATAAGCCGAGAGGTTAATCCGGCAATGTATTACCGTTACAACAACAAAATCAAACCACGGTCATCAAAAGTGTAAGTTTAAAAGTACAGTGGTAAGTTCCAGATAAATTTTGCTCATACAAATTGGAAACAAGAAGTGAAACGGTCTAACCTCAAACAAATAAACAAAATATTACTACGACTAATTTAATCCGAAAATGTTGCAGAAAACATACATAAAAGCCGTCGATTCTCCTCAATACTACTCCACATTGCCTTGAAGGGCCCCAGCTTTCTGCTGTAAGAATCGGGGGCCACATGAATCTGTGTTTATAATATCGGCAACCGTGCTGCGTGGCTGATATTCGAGACTCAGTGAAGGTTATCACTCAAGCGTAAGAACAGCCCAGTCACGCTTTCACTGCTCCTGCGCTGATGTTCAACATTTCGCAAATTACATAAACCGATTGCAAGTTTAAAGTAGTGACAGTAGATTACTGGGGTGACATACCAATAGATGGGCGTGGCCGGGAGCCACGAGTCAAGTCAGTTAACTCGCAAAACTTAACAGAAGAGTGATAGTGAACCACTGGTGGGGGGATTGCGGATTGTCCCTACGCTTTACCCCAGTAGGCCTGTTATTCTAATAAACTGATACTGTTACAATGATACTATTAAGCTTTATGAGCATGCTAATGGTCAAGGGTTTCTTTTGGCAATTTAGTCAGACATCGCTCAGTCACTCTTTCTTTATTTCTGCTGGAAGCATCGTTCTCTTAAGGAGACTTCAGGTCATTTTCTAAAAAGGTACGAACACTGCGATCTCAACGTCAGTGCCATTATCAACGGGTGTGACCGAGGAAGCGTCTGTTGATGTTTCCATGGATAGTAACCATGCACGGCAGGGGTGTATTAATGTCTTCAAGGAGGCTACATTCGTGTCTGTCAAAGGCTGTCTACTTTAGAGAGACACTTGTCTCTGGAGAAATGTACTCAGTCGCTGGAGAGACATTCCCCTATGGACTTGTTTCAAAAGAGAGTTGGGCTCTCAGGGCCGTCAGTGACAAGCAGTCGTATCTTATGACAAAATTCCGCATGGGTGAAACGACAGGCCGAAAGCTTGACACCGAAATGGTTGCGCGGGAAATGCGCAGAGCCCGGGATTCTGATGATATGCACCTTTTTCATGCATCTCAATTTTTTATAGCCGCCTCTCAGGTTGCTAGTTTTTCTCTCGTAAAAGTGCTGCAGTGGGCTTAAGGGATACTTATGAGATGCATGTTCAGGCATCTGAAGAGGAGAGCAATTTCAGTCAGGCAAAGGTTGTAGAAATAACCCAGCTCCAGCAACCTTTGGTGTGCGACCAACACGAGCTCTGTGCCTGGGCGATAGAAGGTTCCCTAAAGAACCTGAAACTGCCTATGCTACAGTGCGGGTGCGAAGACCTGGGCCTAGATACACCTCTCCCACCCGTGCGCGGAAAGGCTCCGTACTCGGCGTCTCTGAAGGACATAACTAACAACTGCACTTGCTGAAATTATCCTTAGGAACTGTCTGTGTTTGGCTTCTTCGGTATTCAGCAAACATCTTTTGGGGGGGGG